TGCTTCTAATGCATATTTGCCCGTGGGGCTAATCTGACATTACTTCTGAAGAGAGACCCTGATACAGAATAATTCAAAACTGGAGTAATTCAAGGCAAGGATGATGAACATTTGCAGAGCTTTGCATGAGTTTCGCTTGACCCACTTCTAGAAAGGCTTCAACTTTTGCATATACAAGAATGATTCTAGCGACAGTTTCTAGAAATACTTTCTGAAGGACATATTTCTAGTTCATACCAAGCCACCTCAACTAAGCTTCAAAAGTTAAAAGGAGCTATAACTGGGACAAGAATAGAGATGCCCACACAAAATAAGCTAGCTGGAACCTCTACATAAAACAATCCTTGTGACCAGTGACAAAATGTCACTGGCCTCTCTGAAGGATGACACAGGCACTCCCAGTTTTGGACTGGGATGGTTGGAAGAAGAGAAAATGCTCTTCCTGGGGAACACTTTCCACTTCTCCATATTTTACATCCACTGAGGTTGTTTTCTAGAGCCAGAGGGATCACCTCACCACCAACACCCTCAATCTTTTCTTGAAATTGGTAACTTTTACACTTCTTTCTTTCACACTTCCACAATCTGGTACACTTTTTGAAGGAATTCTTTGGAAGTTGCATAATGAAATCCCAGCCTGGCCAGAAAGGAAGGGAATACATCCAAGAGGCTGAGGGGGCTAACAGGATCTCAAGATCAGGTAACTGATGGATTTCTAAGCCTAGTCAAGAAGCAGCAGGATCACAATTATGGACAATACCGCTTCCCATGATAAGATATTTCTATCCGACCTCATAAACACGCACACTTTGTGTTACTGTAAACTTGTCTTTTACTACATACAGATTTTGCAGTCACAGTGCATGCAGAATAAATCTAACTAAACTGATTAGAATTAGTAATTGTTTATGCTGATTAAAATCAGGTTGTAAACTAGGATCACTTTTTAAAGGGTAGCAGACCTGTGCTTGGCACAGAATTCAGTGAATAAAGGTTTTCATTAGCAGGAAATCATTAGAGGGTCTTACCACTTCTGCATTAGAAGCATCTACACCAGAAGGTTCTTCATTCAGTCTGTGAACTTCAAACACTGACACTAAACTGTGTCTCTTAATATGCAAAGTTCCATATCTGCTTTGTTTCACCCTACAGTAAGTTCCCTGTTAACCGATTTCCTACTTCCACTGTCATCAATAGGTATGGATAAAAATTAAATGTTCACATTTCAAAGTTTGCTGTCAACAGCCTGAAAGAAGTTTGTGACACGGAGGACCTGCCTGCTCACTGCAAGTTTACAGCAGTCTACAGTCCTGCCTACAAACCTACACGAACTGCTAGAAATATTAGTGCTTTTCATAGCTGCCAGGGCACTAATTTTGCAGCTACCGAATTATACAGCTGGAAGCCCACTCTAAGATAATTTAAGAAGATTCACACAATTTCATTTCTTCTGAGTTGTTGTTAGCCAATACTGAACAAAAGAAACAGAACAGAATTCAAATACCACATAAATATGACCTATGACTATTAAATGCTTGCACTTTAAATAAACCATGTTATCTGTAGGGAATGTTGTAATTTTCTACTATATCTCTCTTATACAAAGAACTTCCCTTTACAAAATAAAAGCCTATCAATAAAATTAATCATATTGTTGCATATCTCCTTGTTGTCCAAGGGAAAAAACAATAATACAGCTAATACAGCTAGCATCACAATTTATTTGTAAATCATTGTGTGCATCATGTCACTGAATTCCATTCGATATTTTAGTAAAGGAGACCAAAACATAAATTAAATTCTATTTCTTCCTTGACCAAAGCAAACAGACTGTGGACTAGAGATGCATATATACATTTATATTTGCTTATGGGTACCTTGCCTTGTTAAATGTTACAATACTTTGCCTAACACAGTCAGATCTTACTCCTGGTCAGAGGGGCCTTAAAGCATTACTAAAATACATACAATCTTAACTAACATTGTCTGCTAAAATGCTGAAATACAGAATCACTTCATTACAAATAAACTATTAAGGAAGGAAATTATATACACTGAGTTGAAATGTTACAGAAATATTATTAAAGAAAGTATCTAAACCTTCAGAAACATCCATTGAACTTGAAAAATATTTTGATGCTCTCCGACATGCCATACAATGCTGCAATAGAGGAACTGTCCCAAAACATACATTCATTAGAAAACTCAAAAATTTAACAGATATGTCAGACATATCATTTGCTGGAGTAAAAGCTCAGGCAGTCCCAAAAATGCAGGTTTTACAAGCTTCAATTTGAAACTATTTTCATTGCTATAATGATCTTTCATATTAAAAGCCTTACACCTTCTTCCAGTATTTATTTTGTTCATTTCATTTCAGTCCATGTTTTCACTAATCTCTTTTGATGCTGAGCTCCCTAAGATTAGGGGGACAGAGGTGCTGAATCACAGCAAATGTTTATATTTCCTCCCAGAATATATGACTGAACCAGCTTGAATACTTCACGAATAAGATTGTGAAGATCATAACAGGCAAATGCAAAATCTGTTTTTAAAATCTATACCATATTTTGCAGCAATTAAAATAGTTGACCACATCAACATTTTAACCCAAAGAGCCATTAGGAATGCATGCAATTTCTAATGAGGATTTTTGAGCTCTCTACAGAAAAATCCATCTTCAGGCAATGCCTGTCATCTCCTAATTATCAATTTGCAGTTTATTAGTCAGCAGATTTTCCATCATTATTTAAATAAGGATAAGATGGGATGCAAAACTTCCAGTTGCAAAATCTAGTTTCAAAAATGTCCCCCAGTGTAACCATTACCCACCATACATTGAGCTACTTGATTCTAATATCATTTGTCTTTAACAAAAAAACAAAGATTTCTCCAGAATTACTGAAATAGCTCATGTACTGCAGAACGGGTTCTTTCAGGGCCCAAAGGACAAAACAGCTGAAAACTATGAATCAAATTAATTTTTCTGTATGTTCCAAGAGGATCAACAGTGAGAAGATTGCTTATATCACTGAATTCTGTATACCTGAATATTGAAACTCACTGTTCCTTTTATCTATACCAAGGAGCCACCTTTTTCTCTTTTATTTCTCTTATAAAATCAAGCTCTCTGAAAACAGGGAACTTTCACTGGATCCCAGATATTTGATTTCATGGGTGCAGGTCAAATGGCTATGTGTGCTCTGCTGAAACACAGTACTGTAATTTCTGGCTGTATAATTTTATAGCAAATACTGCAAGATGTTTTGAAGATGTCACTGACTGTAATACAAATCAATATTAAATTATCTGTACAGGAAACATTTTCAAAGGATGGTCCATCAAGATTTCTCATAGGATCAGAGATTTCTAGGATCATACTTTAATAACTACAGTAAGCTATTACAGTTCATCTCCCTCTTCAATTATTTACAGGTCAAAAAAGCCAAGTGACATTGCTTTATATATATAGTCAATGTTATGCAGTTGCTTCGTAACTTACTAATGCCACACAAAATCGTGAAGGTACAAGCTTTTAAACAAAGACATTTTTTCATTTGAGAATATTTATATAGTTACACAGCTACGTGATGCAAAAGGCTGTCCTTGAGGCACTCTACCTTTCTTAAAAATAATGCATTAAAAATATACATCTAAACAGTACTGAAGTGATTACTCTGCCGCATAATCTTTAGATGGCTACAGACTGTGCTATTTAGCCTGATATTAATTACACATTTAAGACATTTGTCATTTCAAATCACCTAAAGACCTTCATCATATTTCTATCCATTTCTGTCTACAGGAAAGCACATTTCAAAGCCTCCTCATTGCTGACTTCTAAAACGTCAAACTGAATTTAGTTTTCAGACAAGCAGTGTAAATGACATTTCACAATATAGCAACACAGAACACAGTAAGACGAAGAGCCTAATGAGGGTGCAGATAAAGAGAAGGGAATTCTTGTCCTGTCATTGTCACAGAGGTGGAAGACTTCAATAGCAAAAAAAAAAAAAGAAGAGGAAAAAGAAAAGAAGACAAGCTACCAAACCCCCCACGCACACTACGGTTATAACCTCCAAAAAAAGTTCACACATTGAAGCCTCATATGGGGCTGTTTTGATTTGTGAGGAGTGACACTGGTGGTTGGAGAGCCTTATGCTAAATGTTCCAGACAGCTGATGCAACCACCTCTGCATCTGCCAGTTTGCAGCATGATGCTGCTTGAGCGGTGGGGCTGGCTGGCTCTCCTCACAGAAGGAGAAAGGAGAGAAGAAAAGGTGGGGACCCCCCCACAAGCACTACGAACATCAATTTGCCTGCAAACGCCAGCCACCCTTGTACAACATTAGCCATCAGGCTCTGGACCCTTAATCCAGTTTGCAAACTGCGAGGCGGCAGCTCACAAAGCTCAAACTCCACAGACAATGCGCGTCCATCCGAATCCGGGAGCCTCCTCAGCGCCCGTATTTAAGCGGAATCACGGCCACCCGCCCCCAGCAGTCAGCCCGCCCTGCCACCCCGGGTTGTCAGCGCTACCCCGCCACGGCTCTCGGCCTGGACCAGCCACCCCAGCTCGGGCCGCTGCGCTGCGCCCGGGGAGGGCGGCAGGAGAGGGGCCGCGGGCTTGCCGAGCTGCGCTTGGCAGTGGGGTGGCCGGGGACGTGGTGGGGAAGGAGACACGCCGCGAGCCCTGGGGAGGAGGAGGGCCCGCCACCGGGAGGGGGGAGGTGAGAGGGAAGGAGACGGGTCGGAGAGGGAACAGTCGAGGCGAGGGAACGGGTGGGAGCCAGGCGGGGAGCAAGGCAGCCCGGGGGCGGCGGGCGGCAGGAAGGGGCTGCCGACTCTTTCCTGTCTCCGTCCCCCGGTGCAACCTGATGGCCTCCCCGTGGCCGTGCCCCGCGCAGAGCTCCTGTCCGGGCTCGGCCCCCGCCAGCCGCCCTGGAGCGGGGCCAGCCTCGCACCCGCCGCGCCGCGCCACCCTGCGTGCCGTACCCTACCTTCGCCTGCAGATACTGGGGGTAGTAGTAGGTGGTGTACTGGGGGTACATCTGCTGTTTCCACACTTTGCCCATGAAGCTGGAAATGTAGCCTGCAGTGCAGGGATGGGGGGGCACTTTGGGGGGCTCCGGCCGCCTCTCCGTTTCTCTCTCCCTCCTGTCTCTTCCTCTCCGGCGGCGGCGGCGGCTGCTGCTCCTCGGCCGAGCCCAGACCTTCCTCCTCCTCCTCCGCCCAAGAGCCACAGCGGAGCTGCGGCAGCTGGGGCAGGCACTCTCGCTGTCTCCCCGGGAGTTCCTGCCAAGTACCCGCCCGGCCGGGGCCGAGCAGCAGCAGCAGCAGCGGCGGGCCGGCTGGCGGAGCGGCGGCGCGGGTAGCGCTTGGGGCCGGCGCGGCTGCGGTGCCAGGCGGCGGGGCAGGGCTGGCGTAGGGAAGGAGGGAGGAGGGAGGCAGAGAGGGGCGGCGCTTGGCCCCGCTCAGCGCCCGCGTTGCGAGCCCCGGCCCGGGCCCGGCGGCCGGGCAAACCCCACAGGCAGGGGGAGCCTCGCTGCAGCGGGCAGCGAGCGGCGCCCCGCGGTCCTGGGGCCGCTTCAGCGCCGGGAAGCCTGCCGTGTCCGGCCGGAGCGGTGCGGGGCTCTACGTTCCGCAGGAGGAGGAGGGCTGCAGTGGTCTCGCCGCACAGGGCTCGGCTCTGACCTAATTAACCGGCTTGCGCTTTGTTACCGCCTCTGCTCTTCGTGCATCTCGTTGCCGAGCAGTGCTTTGGGGCGCAGGCTTTAGGGGAGAACTGGATACAATTTGCGAACAACTACGTTTGGCTTCGGTTCTGCCTGGCGATAGAAAGGTCCATTTATGTGCTGGGAGCAGAAGGGACTGCAGCGCTAAAATGAGTTTACAGAACAGCAACCGCAAAACCAGACCAAATTCTCTGTTCGGCCCATCGTGCATCCTTCAATTTGTACTTTCGCCAGCGGTGCCGAGTACACTTAATTCTCAATCAGGAAACGTTTCTGTTCTAGTTGACAGCAGTTACTTTTATTTTTTTATTTGAGTCTTTCCCCTCTGAAGGATAATTTCCCACACATTAAAAGTAGGGACCAGCAACATGCTGTAACCCACTGTTATTTGTTAAACAAAAAACACTTTGCCCAGTGGGTTTACTTCTGATGTGTCTCTTTTTGACCCAAAGAAAGACTGATTCTCAAGACTATTAAGCAGATGCTCCTTCTTTGTCACACGAATCACAATCATTTTTGTCTCGCAGGACTGTTTTATTAATAAAACATGTATGTGAGGTCCACCCAAACTCCTGAGTGTACTGGCATCGGCCAGGCTAAATGTGATAATAGGGGGAAGAAAGATTAAAAAAACTTACGGATTTACAAGCATCCCAGTGCAATAGCAAAGGCAGCCTTTGTGCAGTCGTGAACCCCTGGTGCAGGCAGAGCAATGAGAGGTAACTGCAGATATTCGGCCAAATTCCAGCTGAGCAGAGAACAATTATGCAAATGCCCGTGCAGCTCTCCTGCTAGCCATTCAGATCACTTCACACGCTTTTTGAAGGGAAGCCATTTGTACACACTTTATGGTCCACACAGATAAATAAAAGACTAGTTGCATCTTTCAGAGATGTCTTTTTCTCCAAGAAAGAGGCATGGGAGCTTTTGAGTTTTAGCTAGGCTTGAGGGGGTTTGTTTGGATTGGTTGGGGTTTGGGTTGTTTTTTTTGTTAACACACAGCTAGACTCACTATGAAAAGAAGGACAAACACAAAAAGCATATGAGTTGGAAATACTTTTGTGTCCACGATGGTAACTTTCTGTTGGAGGGACAAAGATTAAAGTTAGAGAAAAGTTGAGCAGAACAGAAATATCAGGTATTTGAGGGGGTTAAGAATGCGTGTCTAGAAAAGCTGAAATGGCGATGGCCAAATTCAGCTGCTTTCTGTTGACTGCACTGACATTTACACAGTGGAAAAAGCATCCAGGCTGCAGTTATATCTGAAGAATTCAAGGTAATATGGCTCCAGGGTAGCAGATGGTCAAAAGGTAGTAGAAATGAAGTTTCAGAGCTTCACAGGGAAATGTGTTGCTACAGACCGGACACATGATGATACTGTTGTAGGTTGCTTTAAGAACTGCCAAACTAGTCTAAAGTTCTTGGTTGAGCTACAAAGAATGTGGTGCTGGCCTCTCTTAAGCTGACAGGTTACGGGTGCTAGTACACTTAGTTTCCTTCTGAGAAAAAACAGAACAGGCAAGAAGACTGGTGGCTGATGGATGGATTTTGTGGGGATTTTTCTGAGGAGAAGGAAAGAATGAGATCTGAAAGGAAACACATATTCTGCTGAAGACGGCTAGAAACAGAAGAGTATTTTCCTAGAATCCATATAAACAGTTACTGTGATTGTCACAAGTATGTTGTGCAGTCATGAATGGGGAGAGAAGCATTTTCCAGAAGAAAATTCTCTAGGAAATGAAGAGAGGGGAAATGCAGCCTATATCGTTGTAGCACTTAACAACTGCAACAGTCTCCAGCTCAGCTGTGTCAAGTTACTGAGAATGGCTGCCAGCAAGAGGAGCAGCAATGCATTCTGCCACAAGGGCTCCTGAGAGTGATGAAAGAAGAAATCTGGCTAAGAGAGTATTTGATTACAACTGTAACAGCTAGAGCTGATCTCCAAGTACCTTCCCAGTCTCTCCTTGCAGAGACTTATAACTTTCCTAAATGAGGTCTTTCACTCTAGAAGCTTAAGCTCATCCTCAGACATGTGTCACTGTTAATGTAAGGTTGAAACCAATCTGGTTCCATTTTCAACTAGAACATTTTCTAATTAAATATCTACTTCTACTGGAATATCTGCTGTAATTTATTTAACAAAGCTGATATTGCAGAAGTTCAAGATGAATAGTTTAATATTTATCATTGAATTTAAAAAAATAAGCCTGCAGCTTAATACTACAAACTTTTACAGTACATTGATCCCACTGACAATTAATGAGAATTTTCAAATGGTGCTCAGTTTTTATTAAAATCAGGTTATAAAATATAATTATTTTATTGGAATCATTTATATGAGCCTGTTTTATATAGATTTTTTTTTAAATGCTAGTGAAGGTGTTTACTGTATAAAGAATGGATCAGTGAAGAATTCTTAGGCAAAAAAAAAATCTTAATTTAGCATCACTCAGGACAGTCTCTGCTTGTATCTTTTTAATATGTTGATGATTCAGCCAGCTTAGTAATATGAAGGCAAGTTGTGCAATACAGACAGGATGGCATTGCAGAAGAAACTTTAAGCCAAATGACTAATTTCTTAACTTTTCATACTGATGGAAATGTTTGGTTTTAATTGCTTATTCTGTGTTCATAGCAAGGGCAAGCAAACACTTTTAATTGAAACTGCTTTTGCTGTCTGGCAGTACTAGTTCCTGCCATCATAACTAAATATCCATAAGGTTAAAAATGCTTCCCTCGTTTACACACTACACAAAGTATAGGATTAAGAAGGAAAATAAACACTGAATTTTGTTCTGAAGGCAAGTAGATACCCAACAGAGTAACAAAAAGATTTATTCTTTTCTTCTTTAAGAGCTGCCTCCTACCCACTGCGCCACTACAAATGTAGGTACTGCAGCTTTGTGAATATTAAGGAAAAAGTTAATCCATAATTTTGTCTATGGCCATATTTCACTGATTATGGATGGAACAATACTGAATTCTGTTTTCTTTATACATATTACTTCTTTATCACAGTTATACTCTTAACTGGTCACAACTGATTAAACCATGATGAAAGCATAGCTGGGCTGTTGCTGCAAAAGCCTGAGAAGCACTGTATGTCCCGCTGTGTCAGAGGGGTTTTAGGGCAACTCAGGTAAATGCAATCAGTGGTCATCCACTGACTCTTAAAGAGTGTTGGAAGAGAAATCCCGTTTAAGATTTACAGACTAACTTAGACATTACAAGTTCTACCCTGAGGCAGAAAAAGTCAAATGCAACATAGAATAGGAGGGAAATATACTTAATCCAACTCACTTCAAGAACCAAGCGGGCTTGGGGTCTTTGCACTGGTTTAAGCTGAAAGAGATATGTTTTTGCTGGAATCATGATTACTTTGACACAGCCAGTAATATTTGAATAAGGAGATATATATTTTTTTTTTTTTCCTGGTTAAGGTACTAGCTTGAGTCTTGGGAGATCTTTGTCCAATACCAGATCTACCACAGAATGTAGGCGAGAGGGTGACAAGGCACTGAATTACCCTGTGCCTTACTTCCCCGGTTTGCAAACTGTGTCAAACATTCACCCTCTTCTATTCTTTGTCTGCCTAGTGTGGTCAGTCTGTAAGCAATGCAGGGCACCACAACCATTTGCTAGGAATCTGCCTAGTGTTATTCACATAAAAGGACTATGATAAATAGAAGCAGTGGCGGTGCATCACTTGTGGATGCAGAGAAGTCAGGTGCAGCATCCTAATTCACATACAAGTGGTAACAAACCAAAGATCTGCTTTATACCCCCAAACAGTGTGTTAGGGCTACAGAAATGCAGCTAGGTTTAAGCTCTCAACCAATAACTTCTTTGCTCTTCCCCTCACCCCCAACACACACTGTTCCAATTACTTGCAAAACCTCCTTGTTGTAATGCCACCCTTAGCCCCATCATATGGCCTTGACTGCTTTGCAACACAAATGAAAGACTCTTCAGGTCGCAGTAGGCCACACTCTTAAGCACAAAGGCTAAATAAACGGCCATTGTTAATGGGCCACCAAGATGAAAAGCACTTGATTGTTTTCATCAATTAAATCAACTCTCTAGATTTAGTGGCTATTAACCCTTTCAGCAAAGTCTTAAATATTTATCTGAACAGAGTGACTACGATTCTGTATTTTTACAGCAGCTCTCCTGGTACAGCAATGCTTCCCTGAAACAGTGCTGAATGTGGCTTGCCCTTGTTTATCCTTACAGCTGAGCCGTATACACTCTGGCTCAGCTGCTCCTGACAGCTGCAGTCAGTGTAATTCACTCTTGTATAATCTTCAGGGCTGTACGCTATTCTAAGGTTGTCCAACTGAAGTATTTAACTGGTACTAACACACAGGACTTTAACATACCTCTGCATTCAGGATCCCCCTCTCATGAAGTTTCATGAGCGCCAGGCGATGCTTCCACTGTGGATGGTGGACATCCACAAACAATGCAGCCGGACTGCTCAGGAAAACAGTTTCTGTATTTGGAGCTAAGCATATCACCATGAATTTGGGTACACTGCCAGTAATAACCTTTTCTTTGTGTTTAGATAGGTCTGAGAGAATCCTTTCCCACATAAGCACTGCATTTTCTGAGTTTTCTGTATTCTGGTTTACTTTATTTACCCTAAGATGCCCAGCTGATAAAAATTATTTCATGCTAAAGGTAATTGGTTGTTTGGGTTTTTTTCCAGCATTCTTCATTAAACCTGTGATGCACTTCTTGTGGGTCCAGCTCTATAGATCTATTTAAACAGTCTTCTCACTGATGGCAAAAATTAGCTGTATTATAGAAGTATGTTCATCCTAGGGTGGAGGTAGTTAAGAATCCAACTTCTATTCATACATTATTTATCAGAAACTTCCATTCCATGCAGCTTCTAACTGCCCTGGAGTCTCCCTAGCAATACAGTCTTCACTGTGCCAGCAGATGAACAAGGAAGAGAATAATTGTATCTCTATAAAATATTGACCAGCTAAAATTCTTTCATTAGGACATTCCCTTTCAATTTCCTCATCTCAGTTTCAGGGCACTATTTGCCATTCCTTCCCATCCTTCACAAACAGATGAGGAAAGCACAAACGCCAGGCTACTCTGGCGGCAGCATAATAATTTTTGTGGGTGTCTTTTTTCGAGCTTGACTAACCAGTAGTGGTTGGTCCTGATCAAATTCAAACCATTGATTTTAAATATTTGTGTATAATTCAGACCAAACACTTTTTTCCTGCCATGCAAACAAAATTTAAAAGTTTAATTCACATAGACAACAGACATCCTATTTCTACAGACTCTAGGGACACATTGCACTATGTTTAGGCATATCTTAAGCAAGTTCTGAATAAAAGGTGAAGGATACATCCTTCAGGTTTCTATCCTAAAGCACCTTAAGGTTTCCTATTTTTTGAATAAAACTATTCCCAACCATGAAACGTCAACCTTCCATTGCAAACGCACTTGTATTTTAGAGAAGTTCTGTAGCTTACAAAACATCTAACAAGTCTTTCCAATGTCTCAAACTCCTCATACTCCTTCCATCACCCACAGCAATACCTTCAGCTGTCCCACACCCTCTGCACGGTCTGAGTTAGCTGATGTAATGCAGGCGCTGACCGGCCAGCAGGCTGCTGTCTAGCCAAATGGTCCAGGCTGAACCCCACCTGCTGGAGCAAAGCACCAGCTTTCACACCTTTTCTCAGCTACTGATTTTCATGCAACTTTTAGGGCCATCCTATTTGTGACACCTGTGCTCCACCATCACCTTTGACTGAAATTATCCATGGGCTTCAAAAGTTATAATGGCATAAGGGATGAAGAATGAGAAGGTGAGTAGGCAAACCAATTGCATGAGCCTTATTTCCTTAAGAAAGTGCATTAGTAAGTCAAAGAACATCTTTTTACTAATGCACATGTGAAAAAGCAAAGGCTCTTTTAACTGTTACCAGGTATAAATATTAAATTCTATATTTTTGGTGTGTTAAAATTGTATATTTTTAGAACCAGAGAATGAGGAACTATAATAAATTTAAAAAATCCTTTTCCATATGAACCAAACCCTTAAAGTGTATCTCAGCAGTTTCCCTTCAGTGCTTCTGTATTAGATTTTCTTTACACAGAGAAAATGCCTTTCTCACAAAAGGACCACCACACGTTGCCCTTTTGAATTAGTTTACATATTTGAGCTTCATTCACCGTTTATCATGTTTAGCTTTATCACAAATTATTTGTAAATGCTGGACACTCAGCCCCATGTACATGCAAATTAACACTTAGAGTGCAATACATTGTTGGAGCTAATAGGTGCTGTGTCTCTACTGCATATTTCAAAAAGCGTTAAAGTGTCGTCACCCTTGATCTGCTGTAAAAATGGAAGCTTCCTCCTTGGCTTTGAATCCATTTCTGTCTTCTAGATGGAGCACCAGAGCCTCAGTCAAGCTGGGGTGGTTCACTCTGTGTGCTGCCCTTTCTGTGGAAGACCCAGCATTCCCTGCTAAAACAGCTCTCGAGTCATGCAACACTGACAAAGCAGAGTTGAGCAACTTCATTTATTTTTCTCTGCTCAGCACAGACAGTAATGCTAATGCTGATGTCAATTTGTGGAACTAAGAGCAAGACCCAGCTACGTGTCCCAGTTACTGTGTATTTCTTAGGGGATTAAAGTTTTTCTTACATCTGAAAATTGATAGTGGAAAAGTGTCAAACTGATAAATTGAGGTTCTTCTGGGTCCATTCTGTGCTATGTCAAGACATGCCAATTTCCATGCTATTGGGACTAAGAAGACAAACCTTTTCTTATTTAACTGGAAACATTTAGGCTGTTTCTACCCTGTCCTTTATACTGTGAAATATCACAGTATTTTTTTGATTAATTTTCACAACGCTTTTCTGAACCCATTTTGTGAGCCCATTTACACATACAACACCGAGATGTGGAGGGACTATGTGTCTTTTACAAGATTATGTATGACAAATTTTATTGCAAATAACATAAAATAAAAATACAAGAAAATAAAAATAACATTAATAATCTTGGATTTTTTGCTTCCAAGGCTAGCTCTCCAGTTTTGGACCAGCTTAATGATTTTAGTTGTTGATAACATAAATGAGAGAATTAAAGCTTTGGATTCTCATACCTATATTTAACCATTTTGTATCTTTCTTGTTTCCAAAACTATCAGAGTCTCACTTTGCTATAGTTCTTCCTTAGGATCTCATGCATGTCAGAAACTGTGGGATCAAAAAAGTGTTTCAGATGTACACCAAAATGTCCTTAGCATTCAAAATTATTTCCAGATCTTGTGTTTCACAACAACTCTTTATAAACCAGTGTGTATTTACTTTGCTGGAAAGTTACCCAAATAAAAATATTGCATTTCCAGTTCTGGTCTCTGGGGATTTAATCCGCTGAGAAACTTAAGCAAATGTTCACTGATCGTGGGATAATATTTCTATCAGATGCTAGCAGTATTTATTGCATAAGTTTATGAATTTTGATTCATTTTTGTATAATTTGATGTTTATAAAGCATTGTTGCCTCCATTTTCACTAGGGGAGGCACAAAGATATCAAACCTCCAAACGTACGTTCCTATGGGACCTAAAATCTGTAAATAAACAAGCCAAAGTCTGAGCTGTAATCAACGCATCTCTAGCAATGAAGAACGCTAATAATTTTTTTCTCAGAGGACTTAGAGACTAGCGAGTGTTTTCTAAACTTTGCAATCATCCTTAAGATTGATAGGCTTGGAGTTTCATGTTTTTATACTGGCTGGTTAAATACGTTAGGGACTCACAATGATTTTATAGGTTTAGTTTATTATGATTTTCAGTTTATTTGCAACCTTAGACTCCCTGCTTATAGAATCATAGAATCCCAGCCTGGGTTGTGTTGGAAGGGACCTTAAAATCATCTAGTTCCAGCCCCCTGCCATGGCCAGGGACACCTTCCACTAGACCGGGTTGCTCAAAGCCCCGTCCCATCTGGCCTTGAACACTGCCAGGGATGGGGCATAACATAAAGAACGTGAACACATGTGACAGCACCCGTAATACAGCATTTTTGAAATATCAGCGTGCAATTCTGTGCATGGGCAGACATGGCCACAGTGTCTTTAACACAGGCAGTCTGGGTTGGGTTTTTTTTCAGGAATCTCAGACCAGTACCAGTTCCTGATCCCTCAAGAAAAGGCTCCTTCGGGAAGTGCCTCTTGCCAGGGGTGAAAGTGGAGACCAAGCGCTGAAGCTGTTCGGCCAGCCCCATGCCTTGTGTGCAGAAACCCGGCGTTTGACTCGCCGTGCCACGGGCATCCCCAGCTCTCAAAGCTTGCCGGTAACGCCTGGAGAAAGAATGCGGCAAGGTTAAAGCCGTGCCGATACGGGTGGCGCTGGGGGGAATCCCGTCCCTTCCTCACAGGCCAGGGGCCCGCCCCGCTGGGCAGGCCGGTAGCCACTTCCCCACGGTGCTGCTGGGGCGGGCGGACCAGGTGCCGGTGAGTCCCCGGTGTCGGTATTGGTGCCTGCGGCAGAGGTAACAGTGCCACCTGGTGATGCTCGCCTCCTCCTCCGGCTCTTTACAACGGGTCTACCCGCGGAAATAACTCGCTCCAATCCCAGGGGGAAGTAACTACGCAGCGTGTCAAAAGGTATGTCGTTCTGATTTCAGAAACGCAGGAAACTTATTAACGGCAAAAGCTCTATCCCGAGTGATGCCATCATGGATATACCCAGAGAAACACAACTGCTGCGATTCTGATTACAGGTTTGGTGTCTAAAACGTTTGATGCTCCAAAGCGCTGCAGGCTTCGCATTCCCACTGGATTCACATGGAGGGAGATTGTCTCTCACAGGAGGGATGCAGCACCTGGTAGGAAGTTCACGGTCCTGCACATGGCCTATCTCATTATCAGATCCATTAGTTAATATTCCAAATTTTCCCACATACCACCATGATGGTGGTTCTATTAAGAATATGTTGAAGCTTATTACAACATTATCTCTGCATATTAAATAAAATAAAATGTATTCTTTTTTCTTGTATTTAAAAAGAAAAAGGCAGCATCTCATGTTGAAAAGTAACTGACATAGTTGATTCCTGTTCAGCCCTTCTACCTTTCATATTCTTCTTTCATATTGTTTTAATCACTGTTATCAAATATCACACATTTTAGAAGTTTCTTTGGCTATTGATTGTGTATTTTTCTGACAAGCTCTGAACATATTCCCCATCTCAGAATCCAATTAGGTATTCAGAACACCCACAAAGGAAGTAAGTTAATCTGAGAGAACCGAAAAAGTGAATAATTAAAATAACTGAAATTAATCATTGTTAATAATACATTTACAGGAGTATTTAACAGGACTAATGCAAATTAATCATGTATGTTATATTTATACAAGCTTTCAAATAGGGATTTAAGTTTTTAGGATGACGCTGGGATTCTTCTTACCAGTCAAAGTTCCTGACAAAAATAATAATAAAAAAACAAAACAAAACAAAAAAAACACGAAAAGCAGAAAACCCAAACACCTTAGGAAAATCTCTTTTCCAAATACAGATTCTAGAACCACTGGACAGGCTGCTTCATTCTTTGGTTTCTTCTATTTTGATTTTTAAATACCAGTTTTTTTCTTTCTTCCCAGGATATGGTAAGCTAGCTATGTAAACTAACTTCTCAGTAGGATGCTGGAGGTGAAGTTATTCCTAAAAGAGCACATGCTCAATATAGAGTCCTTTTGCAAAATGTGTCTATGCACCAATTCAGCTGGGAGCATGTGAGCCCATTTGTGGGTGTGTGCATGGTTATTCCTGTAGGCATAAATAGACATGGACACCTTCAACTCATAGAAGCAGGTCTGGTCTAAGATCATGGGTTTGAAAGACCTTCAAACAGGAAGGAGCCTTTTTTTCAAAACAGAGTGGAGTTAAAATTACAAGAGACTACATGTTTACAGGAAGAATGCTGTTATTTGACTTCATGTTGGAGCTCAGCTTCTTCGCTTTATCAAAGGAAAAGATAACCTCAGTCCCAGTTACTCATATAGCTGCTCATAGACAAAACCTTGACAATGACCTTTCTTCAGTCTACCATTTGATCATGGCATGACTCAAACCCAAAAGTCATTTTTTCTATCCCAATTTGTCCTTCCCTTTGTACATTCAGGACACTGAGAACAGTGCTGAGGAAGGATTGTATCTTCTCATGAGGAATATTTATTTTATTGCTAAAAAGTAAGCATTACACATCTTTTGACACTGGTAGGTTGTTTGGCCTTGGCTTGTGTCTGATGATCCAATTCTTATGAATAGTCCTTTTCATTTGGGTGTTATAGTCACCCAATTATTTTTACTTCTACAACTGTTCATATGCTGCTGTTTCTGCCCCTGTTTATCTCCTCATCTCTGATCTTTTCCCTCAACTCCATTCCTATCAGGTTAGTTTAAGTCAGTGAAGGATCAGAGATACAGGGTCACTTATAATATGGTTCTTTAGGTCTTAAAACTATAGATTCTTGCAATTTAGGGGAAAAAAAGTAAGTGAATAAGGCACCTCTTTCAGATAGAAATACCCCTTGTAAACAGTGTACTCATAAAGAGGAAGCTGATGTCATAGACTTGGGACTCCAGCCCTCTGGGAGTACACTGCCACGAAGAAAGAGCAGAGGATCCCAGCAAGATGCAGGCTTCTGATTTAGGGACCTAGCCCACAAGGAATGGAAAAAGTGATTTTGTTTTCTCTGTGTCACTTTGCTATTATATTGTCCTGTGTTCCTGTAATGACTCCGTCCTCCAGGGAGTATTCTTCCCAGGAAGAATACCATTGGGCTCTTTTGCTCTCAGTTCTGGAGTTTGGTTTCTGATAGTTATAGATGAAAAAGTAGGGATGGGGGCAGATGCTTATTGGGAAAGAACTGCATTCCCTTGCAGATTTGTCATTTATAATTATTTCCCTTTTCACTTAAACATGCTCACAAACACACAAACACCTAAACTGAACCTGATTCTTAGGTGGAAAGATGAAACATTAATTTCTTGGGTTATAAAAAGAAGTTGCCATGTGTGCTCTCAGATGGGTTATGAATGATCTCACTATCAAGCACATGCAAAGGTAAAAACCCATTGCTCTAAATAGTGGATAGTCCTGCATTTTGCATATCACATAACTCCATGAGACCTGTCAGAATAAGACTTTTGAAAGTTTTATGACAAATGCTGATTCGCATCTGTACTCTTCACAGTAATAATTTACCATGGACTTCCAATTCTCCCAAACCATTCGTTCCTTAAAAAAAGTTTACTTGAGATGTCTGTCCCTTTCTCAGTACCTATACACTCACAGTAACTAAAGATACTTGGTTGTACATTATTTCTACAAACTAGGTCAAAAAGAGATGCACAGAAGTATTTTTCTTTCCAAACCATCATGCTAGACACTTCTCTTTTACGCTTGTGGAATATTCTCAACAATGCCTTATCCTAACTGGCTTGCCACCAGTCACACCATAAAGAGTTAACAAGCTCAGCCTAAACTAAGTGTGTCTTCCTGAGATGGTTATTCCACAAAATGAATTGGGATACATTGGACAAACAGTGCAAAGAAGCTAGTGATCTGTGGTTAAGATCAGTTAAGCACAGGGGTTTAGTGTTCAAGGACAGCTAACAATTCAAGAGGACAAACTGACATCATTTTAAGGGCAGTGCTAATGGTAGGCAACCATCAAAAAAAGGTCAGTTAGCATTAGCATCCAGAAAGCTCAGCAGCTTTGTTGAACAACTTTGGATTACAAAGCTTGTGTAATTTTTCTATGGGTGTTAGCACTTCCTGGCTTTGGTAAGGCAGAAAGTATTGCATAAACAACCCTTATCGTTATATCTTGGTGCTGCCAGTTCCAGTGCCAGCAAAAACCAAGAAGTCCCACTGAATTATAAATATAAATAAACACAAGACAGAATGTGTCTCTGAATATAAAGCATAAAATTATGATGGTTTAGATTTTTAAAACTTTACTTGCCTTATAAATATTTTTACAGAAAACGTGCAATAAATGTATGGACCTAGTGAAAAAACCAAACCTGAATTACGTACATCACAAGACATATATTAAGAAAAGTAGGTAGGGACTTATAATAGTAGGGTACTAATCCATCTCCCACCTGCGTCATCATTATTATTGGCTATATACTGACAATGCTTTGTATAAGATGTTTTATTTCTGCCTCCAAAAGTCTTACAATCTAAACTAACACAGACATGGAACAGGTAGGATAAACAGGGAAGGTAAAAGTAAGGAAAAATAGACAAAACCAGTCTACCTATATTCCATCAAACATCATTACCTTTTGTTGTAGATAAAAATTAATATCTCCATGTGATCATGACGGAAGTCCATGAGTGAAGGGAGAAAATGCTGACTCTGCAGCGTGCTTTCTTTCAGCAAAAAAATATTCCCAGGCATCTTCACAGGAGCAGATGCAGAGGGAATAGGATGAAATGGTGGTCATTGTCCGTCGTGTTATCCTGACCACCCACTAGAAATTTTGAGTGTAATTCAATGTTAATGTGTAAGAAGTAAGTACGGTGGTTTGTCCATCACAATGGGAATCTTTCCGAACAGGGGCAATGCATCTACGCTTTCAAGGACAGAGAGAAACTTCTGTTCAAACCTAAGGTACTTTACTTTCTTTATAGCTTGCAACGGCACTTCAGTGATGAAAAACCTTATAGTTTTGTGGTGTGGACCTCTCGTCACAGCCACAGAAGGCCCTTTTAACAGCATGTGAGCCTTCAGTTCTGAAGAGTACTCGGCTTTGACTTTGATCGAAGGCAAAATCCAGAGTAACTCAAAGCTAGTGTGTCTGCATCAGAACCTATAAGATAAATGACAATGAATGACACAAAGGGTGTAAATCTAGATCTGCTACCTCTTTGTTCAACCTGCAAAATATATGTTCTCGTGTTTTAGCTGGCCTTGGTTCACTTCCTTCTGCTAACAGCTTACAACACTCAGAAACTGCACTGACAATTTCACTTGTAAAGGACTTCCTGAAGGCCCCAGAGCAAAGTAAGCTATACCTGCTATATACATAGCTATACAGCTATGAAAGTAGGTACACATAATGATTTCTTACACAGGAGAGATCCAAATACAAGTTAACTAATGTAGGAAGAATCACAGCCATGAAATCCAGACCAACTTCTACACAGAGATAAAAGACAACAACATCTGTGCCTTTCTGCAAAGTGGAAGAATTTGGGAGTGATGAGAGAGGAAGAGATTACAAAACAGAGAAACTTTTCAGAGCAAATATATTATTGCATATATTGGAGCAAAATCCTTCAAAGTATTCCATAAACAGCACAACTACCTAAGCTTAATTTCCTGTGCATCTGTGCCCTGGGAACCTCCCTTCACCAGCTACCCAGCTCCATATCCAATCTGTGCAATATCTGTGCAAGTCCTGTGATAAAGCCGATTCCAACTGTATCTCAACCACTCACATTCCCTGACATTATCTCCACAGCACTCATCTGCCTGCAACAACTGCTTCGGCCAGAGGCAGCATAACCAGTCATTGGTTTCTAGTCAGGGAAGTGCTTACTGGCCAGCCAGCATTTGCTTGCTGACTGACTAGTAACAGGCTAAACAGGACTGATCACTGCTGAGCTCATCATGCAGCCTCTCCATTCCTGGGGGTACTGCTTGGTGTCTCTTTCCTTTTCTATCTATTCGTGTTATTTTTTCAAAACCTGTTTTGAAAACATTAGGTGAATTAGGTCTTCCTAATTTCAAGTAATCTTCAATAATTTCAGCACCAGCTTCAAGAATTATTAAGGGATACACACAAAGTGCAACTGCAGAACTTTGTTTCCTGATGACACCCAAACCATTAGGCATGTAAAGACTCTTCAGAGATTAAGTTGCTCACCAACACTGGTACCAAACACCAAAAATAATGGGGATCAGTGGTGATCCTCTCAATTGTCCTTTGAGTTTGTGATAGGTCCATGATAACACAGGCATAATAT